CATTTCACATTCTCCACTTGTTTTTGGTCTATCTTTATTGTGACTGGGGTTGGTTGCCTCGAAATTTTCATTACTTTTGTTTTCTCCACATTCATTTCCATGCCATAGCACCTTCCAATTTCAATTAATCTATCAATCATGCCCTGTAGTACAGTTTCTTCCTAAGCCATTAACACAAGATCATCTGCATATTTCACAGTTTGAATAATTTGACCTCCTAATTTGAAGTGACCGAACAATGTCAAGAAATTTTTAATTTCATACTTTATAAAGGACGAAGAAAATTAGTTTTAAATGGGGACACTAACTGTCAAGTTTTTAAAGTAATTAATTGAAGATATTACGGAGGTCGCCGATCACAGTGGCCGTGTGGTCTAAAGCATGAAATGTCTTCTCCCACTCGAACGCTGGGCTCGTGTGTTCAAATCCCACTCCAGGCATGGATGTCTGTCTGCGTTTATTCTGCGGTTGTGTTGTCCTGTGTGTAGGTAGCGGCCTTGCGACGGACTGATCCCCCGTCCAAGGAGTACTACCGACTGTCTAAAATTAAGAAAATGAAGTGAAACGAAGCGTTTCACGGATTCTCCAAAGTGGGAGCAACAGGAACAAAGACATATATAGATTATGAAGGATTGAGAAAATTGTACCAAAATGGGAAGATAATTTTCAAGTATTGACCAAAGCATTATCAGAGCCTGTCACAGTGGTGATACCTCTAATGAGCTGGGGTCGTGAATTCGAATCCGTTCCAGGGCTTATGTACTCGTATATGTCTACATCTACGGCGTCCAGACCGACTCTGGGGCCACCCAGGCTCGTTTTCTCGGTGGTAAAGCAGATGGAGTGTGAAGCTGACCATTCACATCCATTTAGTGCCGAGGTCAAGAAGGCGTAGCTATACCTCCACTCCCCTCTACGTCTTCATGGCATGCTGATTAACTGAGTAGGCACGGGGCAACTTACCTTTCATTAGGTAAAAAAACAGGAGTGAAGAAAATGAATGTAAAGAAGATAAAGATTTTATTTTATGAACAGCATATCATATCGACTTATCGAGATCGATTGAAATCTTTTTATCCTAATTTGTATTCAGTTACAGTTCAGATGCCAATGAAACTGCACGTCTTCAACAATACGATTGCCGTGTATTAAGCGAGAAACTATTGGGGTGTTATTTGGTGTCTTCTCGAGCCTTGACTTAGTCGCCTACGCCCGATCAATTGTCCCGGATATTCGACCGCAAATTGAAGACACCGCCCGCTAAAAACCTACGCAAACATATCGAACTGGTTGAATTTTAAATTCAGTTTTAACAATTATACGTGGGAATAATACGACTGACAACGGTGATGCGAAGCATGCCTACTTCATTATGTAGAGTACCTCTGCGCTGAGTGAACACAATCACACATTACAAAGTAGATTGTAGACCCTACAGATCGATAAGATGGGTGGATCCTGTGTGCTACAGTACTTGATATCTCGTCATCCCTTCTCTCGGTCTTGAGGCTCCTTATTTGCCCTGATTTGGTTTTGTGATTTTCTGAGACCATCTTGAAGCTCATAATAAATCCCAAATTATGCTCCAATAACTTCCTCTTGTATGATTCCTCGTAAACCATTCATAGCTTGCGACGGAGTCGTCATCATCATCATCATCAGCAGCAGCAGCAGCAGCAGCAGAAGCAGCAGCAGCAGCAGCAGCAAAACAGCCCTTTTTGAGCAATAACCTTCCTTAGAAGGTTACACCACATTGCATCAGGTTGTGACGTTTTTGGATTCTGCAACATTTCTTTTTACACAGCAAGGTCGTCAGCCTTGCGTCAAAACCCCAACCTGGAGGACCAGGTTCCTGTATTTTTCGCCCCCAGTGATAAGTTGGCCAGACATCGGGTTTCGTTTTCGCCGCCTTGTATGAGTCGCAGGGCCACGGTGGAGGTATTTTAACCCGCCTGCACACGGAGAATTCATAACTATACTAACGCAAATTATTGGAAGATACATAGTAAAAGTAGCTGATGCAGCGTCAGTAAATAACCACGGAATATAATCAGGATTACAAATGACTAAATGACATTGCATTCCGTAATTCGAAGTTGTAATTGTAAGATAAAATTCGGGTTCCAATCATGTTACTTTACCCACACTTTACTTCCGTTAATATTTTTACGCTTATAATATCAGGTTAATAGAGTAACGTGCTTTATATTTGCCATACGACTTTGTACACAGTCATAAAAACTGCGCGGTCTTTTAATTGCGAATATCTAGTTCCCTTAAGGCGGTATTTAGCTTTGTGTAAGCCTGTCAGCGGTTGGTAATCTGTGTGCACACGGAAGAGAGACACACTCGCAGGGGCAGGGATGTTACGGCATCCGGAACCAGGTTTTTAGTGTCTGGATTAAAATCGTCATGCATTATTTGTGATATTTATATTTAATGCTGTTTATACATTTGCGAAATACTGTCTTTTGGGGTGTATCGTCGAGTAGTCTGGTAGAAGTCGATCGAAGTTTCAAAGGAACGTACTGCTTCCGTCTTCAGGGTGAAAGAATAAGTAAAGCGAGAAACCAACAAGAGGCTGGCGGCAAACAAAAAATATTTGTGTTTAGTGTAAAGACAAGTAACTTAAGCTTGGACTGATATTAACAGGAGACAAGATTTCCTAGAATCCGAGGTTTCGGTAAGGCTTTGAGATTCGCGATATTTTTCAAGAATATAACCCGCCGCCATTGGCTAGGGACCGATGTATCTCGAGGTACAGTACGAAACCTTAAGTTCGGCGCTTAAATGGAAACCTCACAGGAAGATGGGATTCAGGGTGAAGCTTCCATAACATCTGTCATTGTATTATGACTTGATTTTTCAAGGGGATGTTGAAAGCTGTTCTATAAGGTAAAGTTGTCACTGTGCTTAACTAATTAACCACTGCACCATTAAGGCGTATGGGAGAGTGGATGTATAGTTCCAAATTTTCTTGCTCTCGGCACTAGTTGGAGATGAGTGGTCAGCTTCACGCCCCGGCCGCTTTACCCCCGTGGAAAGTCCCCCCGGTACCCATTGGATAGGAGGATGTGTGGGCCCCAGAGCCGGTCCGGACGACGTGGAGAGGAGAAAATTCTTGACCCTACCGGGGCTCGAACCCCGTCTAGCCCGTAGCCAGCCGCTAAACCGACTGCGCTACCCCGGCCCTCATGAATAATTCAGTTGCATTATTTATTTATTTACATGCTAAACTCAGTAGTCTTGAGGCCAGTTACAGGGAATGAGCACAAGAACGAGGGTGAAGAGGACAGACACAAGGACAGAACAAACTTAGGGTGTTGAATTACTGTACATTTCTGCTTGTATCTGTCAGCGTGTGTGTGTGTGTTTCTGTAACAGTATTTAGATTTTTTGTGCAGTTAAGCACAAATTCACATATCGCAAGTTTAATTCGGAATTTTTAAACGCCAGTGATCAAATTAGACCCTATTTTGTTTATATGCTCGATCGAATGATACTGAACGTACTGTGTATTGTTTTCTCCGAAAGTTAACTGATAAGCGAGACACGCAATTTGGAGAAGTTAAGTCGGGAGACAGTAGAAAGTCACAGGACGTCGTGTAGATAATTTGGCGAAATAATGTGCGGTTTGTCGTACAGGAGGTTCTTACAGCAGTGACAACAGAGTTATGTCATCTTGGATAGAACACTGTGTAGTACGGTGAAAGTCAGTCGAGATTACTGAGAAAAAATATAGCATCCATCTTCAGGATCGAAGGGTAAGCCAATCAAGAAATCAGCAAGGAGTAGGCAGCAAGCTTCCTGTCTTCTTTCTTGATTCACTCTTCGACCCTGAGTATATATTCCTTCGAAACGTCGTCTGACCTTTACCGGACTACATGACCTTATATCCCAGAATATAGTACTCCTTATATAGAGATTTATAGGACTAGAAATCTTCGGATTAGTAATATAGGCTTTGTGCGTTTTACACAGAACTCCTTATTACTTGTACAATATTTGTATCACTAATTTAAGTTGTCTCATTTTGGTCCGTCACACTATTAATTACGGAGTAGATAATGAAAAGTTCAGTCCAGTGTGATATACGAGTCTACAACACTTCATTCCTCATTCACCTTACATGTTTCGATTCAAAAGAATCATCTTCAGAGGCGCACCACTACGATAAGGAAACACTGTCACATAAGATATTTAAACAGTATGCACTTTAGATATGACTAATGCTCTCTATATAAATTTTGTTATCACTCTTTGGTATTAAGCTCAGAACAGATCTCACAGACAGAATTTAGTAGCAGCACAGTGTTAATTTTAAGCAAAATGAAAATATTTTCGGAGAGATGAGGTTTAAACTTTGCTTTCATACTGTACAGCCTCAACATGAGGCCTCCAGTGTTGTGCAGCTGTCAGAAAGCAGAGTCTGAGGGCTTCATCGCCTTACTGATTAACGTCTTTGGATGAAGATATTTGCATATTTTATTGTAGTCGTTTTCCACAAGCTCAGAAATGCTGGATTATACATAGCTTCAACTCAGTCATGCATTATCGTGACACCATAGTGATCCTACTACCCAGTCATTAGAAGAGTGTCGAGATGTCTTCATATACTCTCAAAAGATGGCTCTCCACGTCCTAACAGTACGCTTTCACGGCATGTACCAGTGCTTCACACGTAAAGACTACATACTTCCAACATAACACAGACAGTATTAAGTGAAGTTACATTTATCGCGCTAGGCGGCCCGTGAATGTTCAACCGTGGGCATCACAAGTTACGTTCTGTATATTTTTTACAGTGAAGTTTTTATTATTTTTATGATAGTCTTGTGATTCATTTTACCGTAAAAGATTTCCTTCCAATGAACGGTCTACCTGGGCACTCCGAGGCTGATGGTCTGACCAATGGGAAGCGAGAGTAAGAAGTGAGTGGTTAAGACGCGGGGAGGGCGCCAAAAAGAAGGCACTGTTGTTCTAGTAGTTGTTCAGTGCCGGGTGCCAACAGTCGAAGGTCCGGTTACTGCAGGCTGAGGGTGGCAACGTCATTCTTACGTCTTCACGTGTGCGGAGTGGGTGGAGGGAGTAGTCTGCCACCCCACCCCCCGGTGTCATCGGGGTCTCCGAATGACCTAGCTCGCCTTCAGTTACTTTAAAGTGTTTTCAATTTGGTGGCTGTCAGACAAATTAAATAAACACAAGGGAATGAATGATTAAGACGCGTGTTCGAAAGTGTGGATAAAAACAGTTTTTACCATTGAAACGGCGGATAAATAAACATGATATATTTGTGACCAGTTCTTCCATTTGATTGCAGCAAAAATGGTATAGTTTAAGAGAGAGGAAGTGGCGTTTTAATGACAGGAGTGAGATTGTGTGGTGTTGATTGTGTTGGTTCTTGTGTGTGGAAGGATTTCTCGCCTCCTTTTGTGACTTGGAGGACAAGGATCACATCGCCCCTCCCCCACTTATCTCCGTATCATCCCCTCCAACATGTTTACACGGTAAGACAGATGTACTCAGTTCGACTAGTTTTATTAGATTCTTAGATTTCATAAAATAATAATAATAGTTGCAGTAATAATAATAATAATCACGTTCAGTTCCTTTAATTGAATGCTTTCCAACAGCAAGTAGCCTATAATAATAATAATAATAATAATAATAACAATAATCAATCGCGTCCATTCTGGAAGAAGTTATTGTATGAAGTTCTGTATATCAAAGATTTAGAATTTTATTCCAGCGGGATTTAATCCTAACTTGGATGTTATCTGTTACCAAGTGACGTGTCACGATAAATGGTCTGTCACTTCATAATAGCTGAACTTCTTTCTCATATATTTCTCCTATCTGTGATCTGTATTTTAATGACCTTTAAACCGTGGGTGTCACAAAAGTGACAATCATAAGGGAAATTACGAGATTTTCAGATTGTCCCACAATGTCAAGTGACAGATGTAAATGAAGCTCGAAAACTTAATGGCTAGCACATAAGATTAATTTTATTAACAAAAGTAACACCGCAGCTAGTGATAGTGAGAAATTGTTTAGGTTCGTGTCTTATCCGTGCGCTGGAGTTCCCTCGTCCACTTGCCGCAGCAGTGGACCGAGACCTTTCGGACACAGCAGTGGTCACTCACGCCTGGCTGGCCGCTCGCGTCGTGATCGTCAGACTATGCTGATATCTGCTTCGGCTCGTGTAATTAAAACATCTTCGCGTTTTTCCTTCTGTGCCAGTCACAATGCTTTTTCAGCAATTTTGAAGATCCTGAAAAAAATCTTAAAATAATGAAATCTTACGATGTAGTCTGTCGCGGTGATGATAAATTAAGTTGTTATGTACTGGGTCATGATATCGTATAGTTTCATAAGTGAGTACTGATGAGTCGGAGGAACCTAATGCATCTGAATATCCTGAAGATAGAGGAAGCAAGTTCTGCGATACATTGACAGACACTACGACATTACCGGTCATCATAACTCAGAAGAACATAATCATAATACTGAAATGATATTAACGTGAATGTTGAAATTGCTTTCTGATTTCCTGAGAGGAATAACATGAGCTAGTATCACCCGTTCAATTACTTCCGTCTCGGATGCAACACAAACCGTTCAGTCTCTCCTTTATTATAAAATGCCATTACAACCACACGGTAGACTTGTGAGAACTACACACGAAGGAGACATAACATGGACGCTGCAAAATGGAAATAACCTGGAGCCTAGAAAGAGTGTTCATTCCCAGACAAACACATTTTAGTGTGAAGGACGATATGCAATAGCATGGGATGCACTGACATAGGAACTGGTGCAGTGCGGCACGTTCAGTTAGTAAACAGTTGCCTGAAACTTGTTGCAATTAAATGTGATTTGAATGAAATTTTAAACTAAAGGAGAGGATATGAAATCTTTGTGTTGTATCAGAGACGGAAATGATTGAACGAGTGGTATATTAATGTAAGAGAACGCTAAAATATAATGTTATAAGCTAGTATGGCTTTAGTAAAAATATTATGTTTTTGGACATTATCCATCGTTTTGTCTATATCTAAAAAAGTCTTGTTTATTTTTCAAAACACAGCGTTTCAGAGACTGGATTCTGTTTTCGTCTTCAGGTAAAACCTACTTATTTGGGCCCAATCGATGGAGCTAGTCCTATTTCCGGACAAACTCTTAGATCTTATTTAGTATGGTATTTCTAGGAAGATATTTCATTGCTTTTTTGGGGGGGGGTGCTATATTGCGTTTCATAATCAGCTCAGTGATGCCACGAATGTCGTTATTTGTTTCATTACAGGTATATTTTAAAGATGGTAAACTCTTATCGATTTTGATATATAACTTTTCGAAACATCAAAATATAATACTGGATATTAAATTACTGGATACTAAATATCTTCTTACCTTTGTCATAGTACTTTATGTTTTATGTGAATGGTGATCGTTGACTTTCTCTACAACAGATCTAAACTAAGTATATTTCTGTTATTATAATGACACGCAGTATTTCGAATCAGATATTTCTATCAACTTCCGAATAGTTGTGGACATCAAAGAGACTTTAACGTCCAATTTGTATTGACGAGTTCGCTTTTGTCCCAAATATCGAATAAGGAAGTTGGGAAGGAAAATATTTTGTCGCAAATTTAGTAAGGTATGAATATTATACAGCTGAAACCACAGAAATATTCAGTCTGCAGAACAGACGTTATGCAGAAGTTTTCGTATCTTTTTTTTTTATTGCTAGTGGGGTGGGACTAAGTTCCTTGTACTGCGGCTGCTTCTGACCTATTGTACCAGCCCCAGATGATAGGTGAGAGTGATTGTGGAGCAATTGGTAGAATGAAGATTGGCAGGGGAAACTGAAATACTCTGAGAAAACCTGCCTCAGCTCCACTTTGTCCACCACAAGTAACACTTGACCAGACCCGGGATCCAACCCGGGCCGCCGCGGTGGGAAGCCAGCGAATAACCGCTTGAGCTATGGCGCGGCCCTTTTTCCTATCTTAATCGTAAGACTAAATCTAAAAATAATGAGGGGCATGCTTGCAATTCCAGCATCTCTCTAAATGTTCGCATTACGTCAGTGAAGAAGCTATCTCTATTCTCAGTGGCCTTCACGTTCCCGCGCTGAAGAAACAACATATTGATGGTGACCTCGGCAATGGAGACCATGGTTTCTGGTCATATGGGTTCGACTCTTACTTCGGCGTGTTTCCGTATGAATAAACTTGCCATAACCTTTCGGAAAACGCAAGTAAATTTATTTGCATCTTTATAAGAATATTATGCGTTTAGTCTGACTCAGGGAATAGTACTGGACAAGGAAATAAATATGAAGCTATTTACTGAGAACAGAGGAATTTTATTTTAGTAACGCATGCGTGTCAGCATCATCACTCATGGAGCTGAGCCCTTCTTGAGAAGCCGCCAATTGTGCAGATATTCAAGAATTCCTCAGAATTTTATGAAGCCCTAAAGTTCATTATCGTGTTCACAAAAGCCCTCCACTGGTCCCAATTCTGAACCAGATCGATCCAATCCATAGCATCCCATCCAATCCTATCTCTCAAAGATCCATTTTAAGATTGTCCACCCACCTACTTCTTCGTCTTCTTACGGTCTCTTTCCTTCTACCTTCTTCTCCCTCGTTCGTGCTAAATGCCCTGCTCGTCGCTTCCTTCTTGACTTGATCATTCTAATTATACTTGGCGAAGAGTACAAGTTATGAAGCCCCTCATTATGCAGTTTTCTCCAAACTCCCGTCACTTCATCTCTTCTTGGTCCAAATATTCTCCTCAGCACCCTGTTCTAAAATACTCTCCGTCTATGTTCCTCTCTTAATGTCAGAGATAAAGTTTCACACAGAACCATAGGCAAAATTATAGTCCTGCATATTCGAATTTTTATGATTTTAGACAGCAGACGAGAAAACAAAATGTTCTGGACCGAATGGTAGCAGGCATTATCCGAATTTAATGTCCTCTTAATTTCCTCCTGAATCAGATTTTGATTTGTTACTGTCTTTCCCAAATATCTGGATTGTGCAACATTTCTTAGGGATCTGTTAACTATCTTTACGTCGTGAATTTGCCCTGCATTCTGGTGACGAGACGGCAACATGTACTCAGCTTTCTCTGTGTTTACTTCTAGACCAACCCCCTTGGAAGCACAATAGATCACCTTAGGTCGCGGTGCAATGGCCAAAAAGGCCCACCCCTTACAGATTAATTCATTATACCAACCCCCCTACTAGCGTCAATTAAAGTTCGTGCGTTTTTATTTATTGTATCTATATTATCACCCAGTAGATTCACATCATCGGCGTAGACCAGCAGCTGATATGTCCCATTTAATTTCAGTCCCACCTGGTTTTCCTGGACCTTCCTAATGGCATAGTCTAATGCAAAGTTAAAAAGGAGTGGCGATAAAGCATCTCCTTGTTTTAGACCATTCTGAATAGGAAAATTATCAGATAAATATTTGCCTATACGGATTTTAGTATATGTTTCGTTTAAACACATTTTAATCAGCCAATTAATTTCGTGGGTTCCCCAAACTCAATGATAATATGGTACAATAATTCTCTCATAAATGAATCATAAGCTTTCTTGAAGTATACGAATAGCTGATGTACTGACTCATTATTGCATGCATGTACAACTTCTTTAAATTTATATTTGTCAGTCAAATTAAGCAGGGCAAGGCGAATGGGATTTACTCGTATACCTGTAGCTTTGTAGCAAACTGCGGGACATTAATTTAAATAAAAAATAAACAAATAAATAAAAATCGTTTTTAAGAACTAAATACTTTCATCAAGAGTAATTTTCAGAAAAAACATGACCAGTGTTTGAACTTCCATATCATAAAGTGTTTTATACATTTTAATATTTATCCAGCTCAGCAACATGTAAGTTGTATGATAGTTTCGTTAAAAGAAGCAATGATCCCATATTTGCTTCTGAGTCCCTGAGTTAAATGATTCACAGCAAGACCAGTTGAATGTGTTTGGTACCTACACTGTGATAAGTGTATATACTCGTATTTGCTCGAGATAAAGGGTTTGAATCCTTTCATGATACGTAATACTTGCTGAAGATATGCCATTTGCTCTTATTCTCTAATGACGTTCCGGTTAGAAGTGGCCTCAAATTAATTTTCGTGTATCTAATTTAGTGTAACTAACGCCTTTGATTAAGTTGTCTTTATTAATATAAACTTCCATGTTAGCAATTTTCTAAACTATGACGTCAAAGTGAATGCGAATTGCAGACGTATCCGTGCTTGAGCACTACGAGATGAAGACACAGAAGGGACGGAAATACGCTTACATTTTTAACTTTGGCGCCAGATGTAAGTGACCGATCAGTCTTTTAATTTAAATTTTTTTTAATTCGCTTAGTGAGGGGGTGGAGTCCAGCTGGGTCCATTCGGCCCGGCGACCACTGATTGGCCTATTGTACCTGCCCCGGGTGATTATGATGATGGAGAATTT